CTATAGATACATGTCATCAGCGCTAAGCTGTCCTAAAACTTTTAACTCAAAGAAATAACTTGTTTTCGAGATATTACATTTCAAAAAGCAATTACATGTCACGTGAAAAAGTCATTAAGTCAAACGCGCTCAACGTTAAGATATGCCGAAAAGAAGAAGTATTTTTGACCTTCGACTTTAGGCATTTGTAAAAACTACCATATCTATCCTTGGTAAATTTTTTAAGTATAAATCTCTTAGTTCGAGTTTTCCATGTACTATGCAACGTAAAAATACAGGCTCTAGTGGCTTCCGATGATTCCAAGAAGAAATGAAGGCCTACTGAGTCCCGATAGAATTCTATATGTCTATTTCTTTCTCGCTTTTTCATATGGCCAATGATCATTCTTGTATATGCAATATGTCAAAAACAAGACATTCGTTCGATCTGATATTGTTAGAACATGCAAATATTTATAAAATCTATCGATGAATAAAAGTTCAGGTCAAAGTTCTCTGGTTGAGTTCTTACATAGATGTGTTTTTATATAATCGAGAATTCAAATAGATGATTTTTACTCATATCTAATTTCAGTTACTAACAATTTACAAATTGTGTGTTTCATTTATGTTTAAATGATATGATACGTAGCATTTTACTTGATAATAGCTATGTCTTGTAATTTTCCTTAATCATCAAAGTCATTCCAAAGAGTACGCAGGCTCTTTGAAAAAGAATTGGAATTAAAAAGTATTTAGCTACTTTTGTACACTCCTCAGAAAACCATCTGATTTTACTGCTGTGGGAGGTGAATCACATTTTCTCTATAGTATTCATCTAGAAAGACACATTTAATCGTATGATTCCACGTACAAGTGAAAAAAACTGGCTTGGCACTAGATATTTCAATTGAGTATATTCTAGTCTGGTAAGCTATAACTTATTTGTTTGAGATGGACTATAGGATGGTGACATTTCCGTCGACTCTAGTAATTTCCATTGCTAGAATTAGTTATTCGAAAGGTAGTGGAATATCTTTATAATTACAGAACGCAGAAAGATTTACAATTTGAGAGTGCTGTTTCAGTTTTAAATATCGAAGTAAACTTTGTCGATCACTTTTATTTCCTTAAATTCTAGAGTAAATCCTGAAAAGTACTGAGTAGATAAATTGATTACATAACCTACGTATTATATCTGTTTTCGTTTTGTCTCAAATTTGTACGATATTTTACTTAACGGTGTCCACTATCGTACAATAATTGAATGGTATAATGAAGTCTTGTTTTCTGATCGTTGAATCTCTTTTGATATAAAATTTCTAACAAGTCTGTTCTGATATTTATGCCAATAAATACCGATTTTTTAAAAAGCTTCTCAGCGTAAAAGTAGAGTACTTTAGTGAAAGATTGTACTGTCCGTTTCAAAATATATTGCGCTCCACTGTTTTTTGAATAACTCAAGAACGCAATGAGCTAGTGATCTGCGCTTTTCACCAATCGAAAGGGGAGGAGTGGGGCGTCTTTTTCTCTGATGTTTGTATAAGATGAAATCCTTTTAAAACTAATCATATTCGGAAAACATGCAAAAGAACCCATGAAATTGACCTGCCAGCTAGATGAAATTTTGATTTTGACCTTTGATTTAGATAGAGGGACTTGAGATCTATAGTACAAGATAGAATGCAAATGGTTGTTTTATTACATTCTAACGTTGAGCAAATGGAATTATGTGTCTACATGCGCAAATAATAGGTAATTTTGTACTAAGTTTTCGCACTTTTTATCATAATAGCTTGACACTTCGGTGAAAATGTAATGAAAAGTAAGAAAGCGCATTGTATCCTGAACTATAGATCTGAAGTTCCCTTATCTAAATAAAAGGACAAAATCAAAATTTCATCTAGATGATAGGTCATTTTCATGCATTATTTTGCATGTTTTTCGCAGATAATTAGTTTTAAAAGAATTTCGTCTCATACACTATCGGAGAAAAATATATTCCAACTTCTCCTCTTTCAATTGGTGAAAATCGCAGGTCGCTAACTGTTGTCATTATCGAGTTATTGCGCTTGCACCCACTCCTGTTTAATTCTGGCGCGGACATTAGTCGGGATGGGGTCAACGGACAAAATGGGCTAGACATGACTGGGTTCAAGTACATGCTGAATTAGTCTAGGCGTGTTTGAAGGACATTTCTCCAAAAGGTGACTAGCCATGACAAATGTGTAAGACGTTTCAGACTAGACCTGACAGATGTTGCGGACATTTCGGACTAGTCGTGCTGGCAGTCTTCCTTTATTTTTTGCTTACTTGGATGCAATTCTTCTTTTAACTGTTTAATTTCTTCTTGTGTTTGATGTCGATACTGTTGAAATTCTTCTTTTAACTGTTTAATGTCGGATTGTGATTGATGTCGAAACTGTCGAAATTGTTCTTTGAGACATATCATATCGGTATGACATTGAGTTGCATCACGTTGCTTGTAGACAATTTTGCAATCTTCACAGGTAAATTCAATCAATCCACATTGAGAATTATGTTTCTCGATTTCCTTTTTAGCAAACGATGAATGACAGCCAGGACATCTTTGGGGTTGGGAACCACATTCTGTCTCATGGTTTTCGACCGCTTCGTATGGAAGAATCTAAAACAACATATCGACGAAATCATTTCGGAAGTAGAACAACTAACCTCACAACAATCGTTTGGTTCATAAATACAGGCAATCTGTAACCTGGACAATAATCTAACAATGGCTGGAGGACACGTTCTTTCAATAAATGGTTCGCATCCATTTGGACATTGATTTCTACCTTCACAGAGCCATTTTTTAATGCATGCCGAACAAAAGGGAGTTTCGCATGTTCGACAAGCGACTGATTTCCATAAAACATTATGACATATCGAACAGTGTAGATCTTCCAAAATGGCTCCAGATTGATTTCGAATACGATCTGATGCAAGTCCAACTTCGTTAGTGGATGTCATTTAATAGAATATAATAGTTCTAAAATGGCATGTAGACACTTGAGTTAGATTTCGATGAAAAAATGTACAATAATTGTTCATAATGATGACATTATTGTGAAAAGTAAGATATCTTGTAGACATTTCTTCATGTTTTATGAAAAAGACTGGTCAGTAGAACGCTAACAAGGGAAGTGTTGGTTTATTTCTATCTTTATTCCGACATTGAAAAAGATAGAAACAACAATATTATATTTAAGAAAATTATGATCTGAGTTATCTCTTGTTGGCTTATATTAAAATGAAGAAAACGAATAGAAAGCTTTTTCTGTATTCGAATCACTAGTGTAGTCGAAAAAATTTTGTCAAAACTTCTTTCTTTTTAAAACCGTAATAGAATATAGTAATATAGCTGAAGAGCATTCGACGATTACTTTTTCCAAATCTTTCTCTGTGGTTGAATGGGAAAGTTTATTTTTAGATCATGTCGAGTATCGAAAATCGAAAGATCCGCATGAAATTATTTTCTAATTGCTTACTCTGTTTTCGATTCATAGATATCTGCTAAACGATTTCTCAAATAATTAATAATCTATTGAGTCATTAGAAATCTGTGCAACCAGAAGTGTACGTATTTTTATACAGAAATTACTTAGTATTTATTAAGAACCACGGGTGTGAGTGTGAACGTGGCCGCTGTTTTGGGTTTTGATATACGCTGTGTGTGTGTATAAATCGCTATGAAGAACCCAAATCATCTTGACCACACATAACAATCCACATCCTATCGCAGTCGTATTAGATAAGCATCTACCTTCTCTTGACTTTGATTTTGTATCTCTTTAATAACTGAAATGAACAAATATAGTAGAAAAAAAAGAAATTAACTCATCAGGTTAAATATCGGTAAAATCACAGAATGAAGATGAATGAAAAAAAATCAAAGAAATATTAGACAGCTACGAACGAATAAAAAACGCGATTGGTACTGCTATAGATTAAAGAAAGCTGATCGACTTGACTAAAATTATTTGCAGGTGATAATATCATGTGTGTCTCAATCATTTCCAATATGGGCACAAAGTATATAACATTGAAATAGTTTCTTCTACTTTCACAATCTTTCCATCAGTTTACTCACTATAGACATCAAACACTCCTGGGTAAATTTATACATGCGTCACTGTTGATTGGAATATTTTTGCGTTGTACATCGCTTGTTTCTTTTTTAAAATGACTTGCTTCTTACTTTTGCAGCATGGCAACGCTTTCTGTTTCGCTTTTATTTGCTTTACCTTGTTATTTTTCGTTTGTTTTCATTATTGACAGTAAAAAAAAACAGCCATGCCTGTCCTCAAGAAATAAGCTTTTGCGTTTCATTTTATACTCAAATAAATAGAATTTACGTTCTACACATCAAAAAATATTTATATAGAGTGCAGGTGTGAGTGGTTGTAAACTAGTTGGAAGTCAACCCACACCTACATTCACATCCTGCTATATAGAGTTACATATTTATATTTAAATTAATGCCAAGTTATTCTTCAAAAGTTTACTTCTCTTTTTACAGGCACATATTTTTATTCAACAAGATAAATATATACCATGTCAGTAAAATACACCTGTCTAACTTTTAGAAATTTGTGATTCTAGAATAAATCAAGTAAAATAGATAGATACGCAGTTTCAGACAGATTTTAGAATATGAACTATATAGTTCATTGATGACAGAACTGATCTCATCTAATATATGATCTGATTGATGTCCTAATAGTTCCTATTGTATATTTCATATTCTATGATTCTAGTACAAGTTTTGCTTGGATCTTTAAAAAAAAGAGTCACTTGAAACATTTTAATAATGCTGAAAATACAATCTTCATTGCTCTTCTGGTAAGTTTTCATGAGAAATTTGGTATACATAGGATCTTATAACAGGTTTCTGGATCTAGCATCCGATTGTTTGACAAGATTTTGCATAGATTATTAACTTTCTTATGCAGATTAATCATCAAGTATGTTTATACCCAACATATTCGATTGAAAAGACATAGTTGTAATATTTGGTTTTTTTTAGAAGAACTCATTATTTTTTTTGTCTTTCAGTATAGTTTAAGATGTATTAATGGTTTTGTTACTTTAAGCACGTTGAAAGACAAAACTTGAGTTGATTAAAAATTTATTGAGTTTATAGTAATTAGTATGTATAGTTCGCTATATTACATGTAGACAATCTTCCACTCTGACAAGAATTACTTTTGTAAATTAGATAAAACCTAAAAAGTGTTACAAGAGACATCTGAAGTACTTTTTTGGTTTCTATGAATCACGTGCAAAAATTTTATTTCTATGTTTGATCTGTCTAATCTGACTCTATAATATGATTGTAGTATTTAATTTTCATTCTATGGAAACAAACAATATTAATTATTATTTTTTTAATAATTTGTCATGATAGATAACTAAAAATGACAATGAAAAGTTATCAACGATTCACTGTATAATTCAAAATATAAATCGATAGTAAAAAGTTTAGAATAGACAATTAATAGCATAATAGAATTGCATGATGAAGAAATGTATAATAATCAATTACAGATAAAATATGATCGTTACTCTTAGTAGAGATATTTAGTATACTATTTTATAATGTTACTTGTCATTATTTCACACAGAGTCATAATTTACATCGATGACAAGTGATTACAGACAATGAAAAGAATGTGATTCACTACGTCACTTGTTCGATGCCAACAATCATATTGAGACATTGTTTATTCTATTAATCAAAACCAGAGACAACATACTTTACTTTTTCTTCAGATAAGCAAATAAGTTACCGTAAATAAGATATATTCACTACTTCATATCAACTGGATCGAAAATTTTTATGTCGTGTACTCATAATAATATATACACCATTCGAAAGAGCGCGAAAAACTGAGACTAATGATGTAGTTTTCATGAAGACGTACTCCCAAGTCTCCAGCAAAAATTTTTAAAAAACGTTGCTCAATAAGTTCTATCATAGTGCTTCGTCCTCTCGCCATTTTTTTCTTCCTGCACATATATGTGCGTATAGAACTAGGGATGCAACAAACCCGAGTACTTGGGATTTGGTATTAGGGATTTGGATTCGAAATAAGATTTGGATTTGGATTTGGTCTTGGTTTGGATTTGGATGGGTGTGGGTGTGAGTCAAGGGGGAAACACCGTACTTCGTACTTTAACGTACTTCATTGTACTTTAAAGTACTTCAAAGTACTTTAATGTACTTCAAGCTACTTTAATGTTTCCTCGACTGAAGGGAGGGTCTCGATATGAGACCAAGGGGGAAAGGGCGGACTTTTGTACTTCAAGTACTTTAAACTACTTTAAAGTACTTCGAGGTAATTTAAAGTACTTTTAGCAGATTTTGAGCTACTTCATACGAACTTTCAAGTACTTTAAGCTACTTTAGGCTACTTTAAGCTACTTTGAGCTACTTCAAGTACTTTCAATACTTCTATATACTAAATTATTTAAAATTTCTCAATATGACTGTAAGTACATAATGTGGATAATAGTTAAAGGTTATTTTGTTTTTGGCAAACAATAATATAATATAAACCATTCAATATGTATCAAAAAAAATGTTCCAATATATCATTATATAAGTATTTCCCGAGTTTATTTTAAAGAAAGACAAAAATGCATAATAAAAAAGATCAAGTAAGAATTAAAATGAGCTAAAACAGAGAAGACACAAACATTTATATACGACTTCTTTTTATGGAACTATATTGTTGTGATTGTGATATTAAACGACGTTTACCACCATTATGTACAGTTTCATTT